AAGACTATGAATTATACACTGACAATATTATAGATAATATTTTTACACATAATATAATATTGAAAGAATGTAAGAGACTTAACACACAGGAAGATAAGGATAAACTCAAGAATATAAAATATGATATTTTTATTAATAAATTACCAATTAAAACTATTATTGAAAAATATTTTGAATACACCACAGACATAAGTAGTTCCAAAAACAACATAGCATTTTTGAATACAACTTGTAAAAATGTATCAAATGAAATTAGAAAATTAGAAAATAGAAAAGATGAATATGAAGTAGGAGAATTTTTAATTTGTAGAGAATATTCTAAAACTAAAACATCAGTTTTTAATGTAAATTTCAAATATAAAATAGTTCATATTGGAAGTGATGGAATATTTACATTAAAAAATGTAAAAACCGAAATGTTACAATCCGTAGAAATTGCTAAAATAAGAAGCAATTTTATATTTTCTTCTTGCTCTACATGTCATTCTACTCAAGGTAGTAGCATTGATGACACCATAACAATCTTTGATTATAATCATTTTTTGGTAAAGAATTATCCAGAATGGATTTTTACAGCGGTAACACGTGCTCGTGATTTAAGCAAAGTCAAATTTTATAAATATACAAAGGATGTTGATGATGTATTTAATCAAAAATGTATTATGAGTTATTTTGAAAGGAAAATTTTGAATTATAAGGAACAAGACAGGAAAGCAAAAAGAAGCATACCTAGAGAAGGTTATGTAAATACTCAATGGTTTCTAGATAATATAAATAATCAATGTAACTACTGCGGATGTGGTTTTACTATTGATATGAAAAATGGTAATATCATTACAAATCTAACAGCACAACGAAAAGATAATGAATTAACTCATACAATAGAAAATATCATCCCATTTTGTAAATTATGTAATTGTAGTTGTAAATGATTATAATTTTTAATTTAATTATGATAATATAATTTTAATTTTAATTTATTAATTTAATTTTAATTTAAAATTAAATTTCTTGTAAAAAGTATTTAAAGAAATATTACCTATATATATTATATAGCGAGATGATGAAAACCAAAATCAATAGTTATATCAATAAAAAATGCTATGATTGTTGCCACTTCAAAAAGGAAAATATAGAATTGTATAAACTGAATTTACATAACGGAATAGTAAATAATATTATTGATTATGCATTGGGCGAAGAAGATGTATGTAGAACTTGTAGAAGATGGCGACGATATCAAAATATAATAGAAAATATTTTGGAGATTAAAAAAATAGATAAAAGAAATGTTGAAGATGACATTTTAATATTTTTAACTGTGTACGGAAGACCACCTTATAGTTATGTTAGAATATTTCTAAAAATCAGTAAGAAAAAATATAAAATGATTGAAGGTATATTATGGATGTTGACCTATTATAGTAGGGAAGGTTTTGATGTAAAAGAAGACATTAAAACATATATTGAAAGTAAAAAGTTTAATGTTAAAAATACAGTGAGAGATATTAATATTATTTTAAAAATAATGCATGAAAGACATAAGTTATATATACAACTTAGTAGTCATGAATTAAATTATTATCCTGAACTTAAATTATGAAATTTTTTCTACATAACCTAATTTAATTTTAATTTATTAATTTAATTTTAATTTAAAATTAAAATTCTTGTAAAAGTATTTAAAGAAATATTTTATAATACTATTATATAGTGTGATGAGTGATACAGTCCATGATGCTAAAAATATATTGAAAAAAAGTTTATGAGTTATAAATGTGAAGACTGCGAAATGCTAAAATTACCAATTGAACAGGGTTTTACAAATGGCGTTTGTAATTATATTTGTCAATATATGATATGCAATAATTGTAATAGAATTATAAACAAGATTGATGATATGAATAACAAAGATATTGATATTAGAAATAATGAAACTATTGATGATGATTTAGAAATATTTGTGTTTATTGAAATGAATAATTTCTTAACTATAGAAGGGTTTGATAATTTATTATATGAGGGCGATGATGAAGGAAACGCTAATGACTTTATTTTTAAGTATTATAGCATGGTAAAAAATTATACAATATGTCTTCTAGCATTAAACGTTTAAAATATGAAACATTGAATGATAATGACCTTGATTTTTTACATGAGGTTTTAAATGATCGGTATAAAACTCACGAACTTAGATATACAATAACACGTGCAATTGGAATAATGGGAATGTTTAGAAAACAAATAAGAAGTAATATTTATAATGAAACAACGTGTGATAAAATAATAGAAAGAATTAAGAAAGAATGGTGCCCGTAAAAAACGAATGAACCAGACCTTGCCCATAATATGTCTACAAAATTTGTGATAAAATTTATTGTATAATAATTTATCATATTTTTTGGAATAATATTTTTTTAAATTTATTTTTTTTTTATTTTTTTTGTAAAATTTATTTTTTAAAATTTTGTAAAATTTATGTTTTTAAATTTTTTTAAAATTTATTTTTTTTAAAATTTTGTAAAATTTATTTTTTAAAATATGGATGAACTTACTAGGAAATTACCTGCTTTAAAATGTTGATTTTTGAAAATGTGCTTTTTGAGGTGCTGTTTTAAAATGTTGCTAAAAGTGTGGGGGGGGTCCTAGGATTTTTTATAGAAAAAAGATGGGCAAGGTCTGGTCGAACTGTGACACCAACTCGTGACAGGGCCACATGGTTATGGTACATTTGTTCAAGGGTTGCTCGCAAAAGGGGCCGAATTCCACCAGAGTGCTTCTCTGCACCCTTCTAAGAAACCCTTCTAAGAATGTTTGGAGAACCTTTGCTGGTTGGCGGGGGTGCCTTCGGTTTCCTCCTTGAGAGTGACCAGCGCGACTTTGGGGATCATGTCTTGTGGCTTCGGCTTTGCTTAGCTGATCCGGATGTGGGGTTGGATTGTCACAGGGAACAACCTTACAAGTGGTTGGTGGACATGAATCCCCACCGAACTCTGATGTCCACCAAAGGGTTGTTTATTCAAAGTCACACCCAAGTATTCCCCTGTTTGACGTCCCAAAACCCCAATGTGATTCCCTGAGAACCAGAAGTTGTGAGGGCAGAGTCGAAGGCAATTGAAAGCACTTTTGGCGTGGCAACTTTTTGCCTCACGAGGGGGCCACAAATCGAGCACAGTCCCCCCCCTCCCCAAAACAGATCTCAGAGCCCTTCTCTTTCAACCTACCTTTAGAGCATACCCCACTGTTGGTGTTATGTAGTGTATTCTAGCAAGATTCTATTTTTTTGTGTGTGTGGGTTTCCTCCTCGGCAAATTTAAACCCATTTCAAGGGCAAGGTAGAGCTGTCATGGATGAAGAACAGAAAGGGAAGCCAAGTGACTGGGCCCAGCATGCGGGTCGAGTATTTGGTCTTGGCATGACACCAGTACTGCGACCTTGCGAGGAGTTTGCTTGGCAGGAATCCTGCTCTGTTCTCTTGTTTCTCTGTTAGTTTCTTGCTCTCACCTCTGGTGAGTCTTTGGTTGGGGACAAGGCTCGGCAGACCCCGGTTCGGCACGTGTTCGGATCGCGGATCGTTGTGCTGACTCTTCGCGCGTTGAGGTGTGGGCCTTATCCCGCCAACACCGAGCCCATCGCATGTCCTGCAGGCATCCGGAGCGAAGCCACGGCTTGTCTCATGTTGGGGAGGCCCCAAATTGGGTGGCATCCTCAAGTGGCTTCCCTCTTTAAGACAAGCAAAAGGGGCGGTCGAAGAGTGTAACAGAGACACACCCGACTTGCGCCGTCGCAGTCGATCACCTGCCTTCAAAGTGCGTTTCTTCCGCAAGAGGGAAGCAACAGGTATGCCCCAGCGGAAACGCAGAACAGTCACGCAGCTTGTCACGAAGCTTGTTTCCTGTCTTTTTCTTTGCGAAATGCTGTGTGCATGAACAACCCTGCTCCGGGGAAGTGTCTTTGAGCCGTTTCACTCCATAGGTCCAATGACACGTCCAGCGTTTTTTCAGCTCGGAAGGTGCGTTCAATCCCTGGGCCGGCCAATGGAACTGCACCGTTTGCCTGGAGGGCGGTGTCTGTGCGGGGCCCCGACCCGATGCCGATTCACGCCGATTCGCCGATTGGCGCTATACGGGGAGGGTGCCGGACCTGGATCTGCAGCTTTGTCTCACTCCCTGAGGTGCTGGACTTTGGTTACTGTTCTTTGAAAACCATTTTGTTGGCAAGTAAAAAATTCAGATTGTTCAACAGTGAACCTTGGTACAAGACCATTTTGTTGGCAAGTAAAAAGTTCAGAGAGTTTTTGTTTGCCCGTTCACTCAGGAAGTAAGTTGCTTGGGAGGGCCGCTTCAAGTTCAACTACCCTTCCCAATGGCACCTAACAGGGGGTCCATTGACAAGGAAACCCTTCCACAAAGGCTGTCTCAGTGGGAGGGAAGGTACCTGGAGACTCCTTCCATGGGGTCATGACCCTTTTCTTTTGGGTGACCGCATTAAAAAAAGGGTTTGGTTGAGTCAAAGCTCTTTTCTTAGCATCATGGTATGCTGGACAAAGGGCTTGTCGCAAGTGCGGGGAGTTCTTCAAACCGCGGTGTTTTGATCTGCAAGCTGTGTGGATGGCTTCCAGGGCCGAGCAGCAAATCAGGAAGTTCGCCTTAAAGGCTTGCCACATCGCCAATTCTATTTCAGGTAGCCAAATGGGGATGCGTAGTGGTTTAAGTTTGTCCAGCCCCACAAAAAAGTGCCCCCCCCCATGAATGGCACTGTTGGAGGCTGACCCTTGCAATTCCATTCGATTTGTGTTTTTGTTTGGTGAAGGCAGCATCAACGAAATTGGGGGGATCCCTACCCACTGTCCCCCTAATGTACCGTGGCTGGACAGAATCTTTGCATTGATAGGTAGTTTTTTTTGGTTTTGGGTCTGATTTATCCCGAGTGGTGCGAATTGGATTTCTGTCTATCCACAGGGGGAGAAACGAGTCACATTCCTAGGTCCGCACAGTCGCATGCGGCTGCCTATCCCGTGCCCCTGCGGCTACGAGTGCAGCCAGGGCCTTGGATCTTGGCCAGAACCCAACTTAGAAAGGTGACAACCAAGGCTATGACCGGAGCAACTGAAACTAGTCCTTCGGAATTTCCATGGGTACAACCTACCTAAGTAGCTCGAACACCCAACTTGGCCTCGTTTTGCCTTAAGGGGTCACTTGGCCAAATGCCTGCAAGAATATGCCACTTAGTTTCATGGGTTTCGAGGGATTCCACCACTTCGGGGAGGAAAACGAGCTGAAGATCCTTTACTGGTGAAGTATCCAGAACCTGGGGCAATGCAGCTTTGTTCAATGGGGCCCGTTTAGAACCCGTACCAACCAAAGGCGGCCAAGAAGCTGCGGTATTATATGATATATGTGCGTGAAATGAATACGATTATAATGGATCCAGCAGCCCAGCCACTGGCTCATGTCCATCCCCTTGCTACGGCAACCAAACAGCAGTTGTTTTTTCTTGGGGGGGGGATGGGCTACTTGGTGGAGTCAACTAGTACTTCTTTGGCCTGTTGTCTCAAATTCCGGGCACCCAATTGGTTGGGAAACTAGTGCTGGCGGCTTTTGTGGTTTTGCTTTGAAACCACGCACAGGGGGGGGCCCTCAACCAAAAGACACACCGGCGTCCAACTTTAGCCAGGCCCTTATCCAGCTTTGTTGCTCAAGTGGTGTCCTTTCTGGAGGTGGTACTCCATGTTTGGTGGTTTTAAAGGGAAGCCAACGGGAAAACCGAGGCCATTGTTGGCACTACCCAAAAAACGACATAGCCAAGTGGATTAGCCCATGGCGTCAAGTCGGCAGCTCTCTGACTCTGCGCATGTTGACTGTAATGCTAGGGATGGCTCGTGGTCGTGGCAATGGCTTAGAGCCGCGGCGAAGTATATCTAAATAGGGACTTGGACGGGGACCCCCAAAATTCCAACAGGGTGGGTGTTCCTTTTCCTGTTGAACCAACCTGAAAGGGCTACCCTCACAAACACAAACCTGTGCTGAGCACCACGCCGCACGTAGCTTTTAGTTGTACCAAGGAACGGTTAGGGTGAACAGGTATGGAGAGCTTCAAGGTGTTGGGTGTCGAAAGGCCTACCACACAGGATAGAGATGCCACTACATGTTACAAACACCGCCCCTGTTGGGGAAGTTAGTTTTGGAATAAAGCCCCAAAGCCGGCTTCTTCTTTTTTGTGGGGCGGCAGGGAGTGAAGCCCCAACACCGTCCATGTTGTTGTTTTTTGTTGCTGTTGCGGGGGTGGTTTCCTATTTTGAGACAATCAACCGTCTATGTTGTTGTTGTTGTTGTTGTTGTTGTCTTTTTTTTGGGGGGGTCCGTATTTTGAGCCAACCCATATCAATCTCATGGGCCGGCGTGTCGCTAGGCAGCCGCGGTACGGCCCGGGCGCAGAGCTTGTGCCCAGCAGGGCTCATGTGCGACGAGGGCGTCGGGGAGCTCAGGTAATTTCTGGTCGGCCGATTTGGGATGTACAGGTGACTCTCACTTGCCCAAAGTGAATCGACTTTGGACCTTTTGGTTTCCCCCTTTTTGGTCCATGTCGAGTCATGGCAAAGGGTGAACCTGAGCCCATACCTGAAACTGCCGAAACCTGACTTGTACTTTAGATTGAAAAGTCAAAATTATGTTTTGTGATGTCCTTTTTTTGTGGGTAGTTTTGAGTGTTTGGGTAGAGAGGCTCATGGCTCGATTCACCCGCTGGACACCACCAGCGCGCCTCACGTCGGCGCTCCGTGTCGCTTTAGGTGGCCACAGCCATCGAGCCGCAGCTCTGCGAGCCGAAGACCTTCGACATCCGCGTGGATACCAGCGCCTCGGGTGAAAGGAGGGAGCGAGGCTTGGGGTCAAATGGGGGGGGGGCAAGGGGGAGAAGCTTGGGGGGCGGGGGCGTTGGTTGGGGGAGGTGTGGTTTAGTGGTTGGATTTCTGAATTTCAGCGACACGTTGTTTACTTTTAGCAGGTGATCTCAAAACGGACAGCCCATCAAAGGGAGCTCTGTGGGAGGGGAAGGCTCGGACTTGAGGGAGGTGTTTTTCTTGTTTGTCTTTTGGCCTGGTGGGGGGGGAGTTGTTAAAAGCCCTCGGGTGTGTGGTTCCCATTTTAGGGAGGTGGAATAGGGCCCTTTGAAGGTCGGTTCAAAGGGAGATCAAGGAAAAGTCAAAGGTTGGGGGCGCGCTGGGGATTGGGGGGAAGGGATTCGGGGTCCTCAAAACGCAGGGTTTGAAAGAAGAGAAGCTAACAGTAAAACTTGATCAAACCATGGTTCACTCATGGGAGGTTCGGTGAATTTTACTGGTCTATGGTTGATTTAAGGGAGGGCACACTAAATGTCCCACATCAACCAAGGGCCTCAATGAATTTTCCATGTCAGCCGGATTCCACCCATGATGCAGGTGCGTTACCTCTGGATGCTTTATTTTCCATTAGTGGGTTAATATGAGTTGCTACATAATCAATTTTGTTTCAACGGGATGGCAGCCGATGCAAGGCTTGAGCAGAGAACGGGAGAAGATCTGCGTCTATGGCATCGGCCAGCAGTTCGTGGAATATCAGAGGTCGGCTTGAAAAGTCCTTTGAGGGTTGTGCAGGGATGCGTGTCCTAATTGTTTTTTGGGTGGGTGAAACATCTCCAAGGTTGTGTTTGACCCACCGCAAGAAAAAGGACAGGGACTTGTAGGGCCACTTCAAGCCGAGTTTCAAGATGAGCCGGGTAAATGTTGGATACACTGGGTCACAGAAGGAGGCCCCTTTCTTGTCCATGGCACTGTTCGTCTACGTGTGTCTTCTAGTTGCTTTGGCTGCGCGTGTTGTCAACACCAAGTTAGGCAAAGACCAGCCCCAACTGGGCCGCGTCTTTGGGGTACCAACCACAGCACACACACACACACATGGTCCTTATTTTGACTACTTCTGGGGTTTATCAAAGTCAGAAACTGGTTGGCGGCTTCCTTTTATATAATCTACCACTGAACGGGGGGTGACTTTGGTGGTAAAATCATGGGGCCAGGCGGGCCATCCCTCGGGCGTTGGGAGCTGTTATAATCTGGGTGCTTGCTGACCACCGGGTTGGAAGTGCTCACCACAAGGCCAATGGACAAAAAGTCGCCTCAAGCAAGTATGGAAGCACTCCACCAGAAAAGGCCCCTCCAAAAATCTGGCAACCGGTTTTCACGTGGCGAGCGACGCCGCCACACTAGATCCTGGGATTACGCCTGGATTAACGCAGCATCCGGTCCTCAGGTCCCACCATCCAGGGAAAAAGCTCCAGCAAAGTGCCAAGAGCCAATGGAAGACGCCAAAACAAGGACGCTTGGTACCTGCTGATTCGCCAAAATATTGTAAGTATATCAGTGTATCCACCATAATATGCTTAACATGCTGATTCCTTCCCTAGAATTAGCTCCCCTTTTTCATTTCTTGCTTTTTTGGGTCCCCTTTGTTTTCCACTCACCAGGCAAACATTAAAAACAAACACAAATATTTCTTGCTGGGGTCCTATTTCCAGCCAAGATTCGTGCGGTGTCACTTGTTCCCTTGCTTTCTTTAGAGGATGAACTGTAGCTCGGATCTAGAAGGCTTGCTTTGCCTGTTGAATCTGAGCCACGTTCAGCTCAGTTCGTTGTATTGAATTTAGTCACAAATGCGATCCCCATCCGGTGCTTATCACATGACGCCGATCTGATGACCGTCAACAAATAACCACGTGCCATAGTTTATTGTTCCAGCGACGAGGCTTGCATGCAAGCTGAATGAGAGCTTCTCATGAACTCAAGCATCTTATCCACACAAGTAACGATTTTCTGGCAATCTGGGAGTAAAGCGACCCTCTCCAAGCATTCAAGTGATTTTTCCGAGATCCAAGCCAAATCAGGTTGCACCCATGCAGGTTGCTGACCGTCCCTCGGGCTGCAGAACGCTTCGGCTGGACGCAAGACCAGGCGGGCACGCGACGTACATCAAATGAGGACGAAAGAAGCGCAAGAGGCAACGATATCAATTCAGGGAACCTCTGAATCAAAATGTTGCTGTTTCCAGGTAGCTTACGTTTCGTGATTTTCGATTGGCGACACTTGTGACTATAAATGAAATTTGTATTGGCAGGCAATAGCTTTGGTAGCTAAAAGCTGTAGTTGTTTGATTGGTGAACTTTCTGAGGCAAAACAAGGACGTTTGGTCAAGCCTTCTTGGTGCCTTTGAAGCAGCGTTAGCTGGCAGTCAGCTGGGGCTTTAGGGAGTGTAAAAAAGAGGCGTCCACAGTATCCTCGGGAGGTTAAATGTGTCCGTTCAAAATCCGGGGAGCCAAAAGAGGTAGTTGTTCTTTTGGTTTCCCTTTAATATAAATTAAAACGACCCCAACATGGGCACCCTCAAAAAAGGCACCCCCAAAATATGTGTCCTCCAAAAATAATTCATCCGACCCTTTCTTGGAGGGTTGCTGTGGGCACCCGGGCATGCTTCCTGTATACATATCACCACAAGGAACACACTTCACGACACTGGTAAATCTACGGACTCCTGCGTATTGTTTCAAAAAAGCGATCTCCTTTTTGTTGCCGGAATGAGGGTATGAGCCTCTGAGCAATCCATACTGTGGATGGACGCAATCCTGCACCACCTAAGAAACCATGGGATGATGATTCCCTTGTAAATACCAACAAACAATGGTTTTCCATGGTTTGAATTTGGTGCAGGATTTTGTCCATCCACAGTAGAGCTATTCTGGCTATCTCTTGATCCGTTCCCGAAGCCCAGACGTCCCACCCGAAGCGCACACCGCGCACCGCCTCGGCTTTTTGGCCACCAGCTCGTGAACGGCACGCTGGTGGGGCGCGCCGGCTGTTGCTGGTCGCCGCGAACCCGGGGAATTGAAAGAAGCGGTGGAGGGACGAAGATTTATCTGCACCACTTGGAAAAGAGAAAAACACGTTGGTACCAACTTATTCTGAGCTCTCGAATCTGGAGGACCTAGTCTTAACAGGTTTGGCGCATTTTGCCAAGGGATGTTAGGACTCTAAAACTGTTTGCCAACGAATTTGGGTTTCCGTATGAAACCACTAAAAGTTATTCACTTTTAGCAGGGGAGCAGAAAGCAGCCGAGAAACCATGGCTGAAACTATAACGTTCGGTGGTGTTTACAGGGGAATCGGTTCATTCCAGGGTTTCTGATGTGGTGCAGGGTTTTGTCCATCCGCACTATCAAAAGGGGAGAATGGTGGACCGCCATTTCGGTTGGCAATGATTATCTAAAGGGAGGTACTGAGGCGAAAAGCATTTTTGACCATCTTTGAGGACTCCTTGTTTCACAACCCCAAAAGAACTTGCCCGGCAGGTTGTGGGGACTATTTGGGTGCGTGTTTGTTGGAGGTTTGCAACCTATTCACCTTGCAGTTCGGGAAACCAACAGGACCACGGCCATTCGGTGTGCCGAACTTACTGTTTTGACCCCCATTGCTAGTTGGGTCGACTGCCCTGGACTCTACAGGAAGGTCTTGATGGGAATTGGAGTCCAATCCGATGTCTAGGGTAGAGTTAGGATGCATTGGTGGCTAAACATGATGCAAGCTACGTGTTGCATGTTCAAAAAGTGGAGCCTCACTCCATCCAATCATTCTGATGGACGAACCGAAATCGCACAGATTTTGAGCGCTGCGAATGTTGCAAATGTGCTCCAAACAGATGGGGGGGACATTGGGTTCTTGGCTTCCCTTAAGCTCGGCCACCCCAAAGGGCCCGTGCCAAATGAAAGCGCGTGCCTTAAATTGCCAGCCTATGTCCATGCATTTCTTTCAGGAAGCCAAAACAGGTAGAAACCCAGAAAATTTGACCCGCTCTGTGGCCCAGAAAATTTGACCCCAAGCGAGCGTCGGACTTCAGGCCGGAGCGCTTGCAGACCACCTTCGACGAGATCGCCGCGGACTTCAAGGCCAAGAACGCCCGGAAGCTCAGGGCGTGGGACGGCCCGACGGCTGCAAACATTTTTTTTCGCCGGGGCGACTCGACGGCCGCCATGTGGCGCAAAGGAAAACACCAAATTGGCTCTGGTTTGTCAAAAGAAATGGGAGCCATCTTGGGGGATGGGTGAAGGTGCACCACTCATTTTAGTCGGGATTGGGATGTTCACTGGTACGGGATTTTGACCCAGGGCCATATGAAGGATGTTCTTCTCTTTCTGCACTTAAGGCACCCTTCTGTTCTTAGAAAAAGGCTTCTTAGAATCCACTTCGCAGTGATGGATGATGCCATGTGAACACTGGGAAAAACAACCGATAAACTTGGGATTGCGTCTATCCACAGTAAGACCTTCGCAAAAAGTTCTAAGAAATCTTGGAAAATATTCGGGAAAGACACTTGTTTCTCTCGAGGATGGTGTTTTCCGTTTTTGTTTTTAGGATGTTGTTTTCCGGAACCAGGAATGTTGATCAACTGCCAGAAAATGGGCGTACACAATTAGCCTTTGAAGATAATAACATTGGTTGTTAAAGGCAGGAAAGCCCGAAATTCGACCTCATTCCAGTTGTACAATCCGGGCACCTTGTGTTCGCAGCATTCTGTGGGCAAGTAGCTTGACGGCCCCTTGCTGGCTGCTGGCTGCAGGGAGCAGTCAACTTGGTTCGCAGCCATTCCCCTAGGATTTTGGCCTGTATGGACCCCCGTGACCTGTCCAGCCTTTGTGTTTTAGCGGCCTTTTTCTGTGATGCCAATCGAACTCCTAACGTGATAACGTCATGTGCATGGTCCACTCTGGCATGTCACAGAGTAAGATAAACCTTATTCGGCAGATACATGGCTCCTGTGAAAAGATAGCTTCAAGATCGGTTTGCTCTCGAAGGGGCCATTTCCTTGTCAGCCATGCAAGATATGCTCTGAACTTCTCAGCTGCGTAGAACAAAACCCTCGGTCCTCACTTGCCCAAGCGAATCGACCTTGGATTCTCGTGGTGATCACCTTTAATCGAGTCCAAGTTCTCAACTGGAGAGTCTACCTGGACATTCCAACTGCCCTCAAAAAAAGGGGTCACCCCAATTTTCTTCGGGTTGTTCTCACCCATTTTTCCCCGGGTTGAGAACCGGTCCAGGTCCAAAGGTGAAAAAAACCGGCCCTGCCGCGCCTCGCGGAGGACACGCTCTCCGCCCGGAGCTTCTTCCGCTTGTCCAGCTCCATCCAGAGCCGTCCGGGCCATCAGCGAGGGAATTTCCGCAGGGAACGAAGCAGCGGACTATTCCCCGAAGAGGTCTTCCAGGTCCAGCAATTGGTGCCCTTTTACCTCACCCCTTTTTTGGTTGGGAGACTACAGACAAAAAAAGAGATAAACAAAAAGAAGAGGGGAACCAAAAAAACACGGGTGCCCTCATTCTATCCTCTTTACTGGAGGACCTAGTCTTCTGAGGGTTCCTGAACCGATTCTCAAACTACCCGACTAAGAATTGGTCATTGCAACCCAACAATTTCTCTGTGCATGTGGGTGGCTCGTTTTCCGAGTGAAAACCCCTGTTGGAGTGAAGGGAAACCAAAAGGAACTTGCCTGGACCCTCAAAATACCGTTATGGGGTAAACTTCCATTGTTAAGGGTACTTTGAGAGTCCAGGTCACCATTTTTGTGGTTACCCTCATTTTAAGACGACGCATTCAAATGGTTCATCTGGGTTCCCTCACAAGGCGAGGTGACTTTGGAGACGGAAACGAACCAATGAGAGGCTCAGAAGTATATGGTGTGTATGGATGTGTCGTTCTTTGGAGACCGCCGAGATGGCTTCGGTGTTCCTTTTGCTTCCCCTTCACAACCGCAAGAAAGTGTACCCTCAAAAAGACACCGTATGTCAGGTAGGCGAATCTGTTCAATTCAATAGCTGCGCTCGCAGTGCTTCTTTCTTCGAAGAGAGCACAGCCCAATTCGGAGGGAAGTTCTTGTGTTGGCTTCCTTTGATATGCCTAGAGTCTCCATGACCCTTAAAAATGGGTCCATGACCCCTTCATTTTGGGTAATGAACCCATTTTTTAAGGGTCAGAAGGAGACCCCAGGTGGGTGTTTTTCAAAGTGGATTCCCGAGAGCCACCGTAAAGACGTTACCTTAGAACACTCTTGTATTGCAAGTAGTTGGCGTCAAAACTTTTGACCCTTTCAACATGGGGTTGTTGCCCCATTTTTTCAGAAGAAAGCGGTCATGGCTCATAGTTGAAAGAACTCCAGAACGTAGTCTGATGTTCCTCTCCAAGAGTCTGGATGTGTTTTTTGTCTTCGATTCCGCCCTAAGGAATCCAGTAATTCCCTAGACCCTCAAACCCTTAAGAAAGGCAAACCAACCCCCAAGAACTTGGTGCAAGCCAAGCCTTGCGTGCATGCTGATTGACGCACGACAGCGTTTTTGGCCACGATCAGCAGGACTTCAGGTGGGGGAACCGCAATCCAAGTCTTCACCTTTCCGAAGCAAAGAGAAAACAACGGATCGGTTTGTGCACATGTGAATCGAAACGGGGAAAACATGTTCACTGTTGTTGGCAGCCAACTGTTGGCATGTTGCTTGGTCTTCTTTTTTTCTGTTTTTTTCTGTTCATTTTAGTACGGGGCTGAAGAAAGCACAGTTTTGGCTTCCATACCAAGGGGTGGAAAGCGACTCAGAGGCCAAACCGTAGGCCGACACCCGCCAAGCCCTGACCCTCGAGCATCAACCATAGGTGTCCTTTTTGAGGTGAGTTTGGCTAAAAGGGTTCCACTGGTTTAGATGGGTGTTTTTCAATTTGCCAGGGCCATCTATTTCTCCAAGAGGCCACCTTCGAGCATCAACCCTGCGTGATGTTATGGGAGGGTGCCCAAATAAGCCCTTAATAAGATCATAATAGGGCCTTTTGGGGGTCCCTCCCCTCCCCTCCCCCCCAGCCCCCATGATGATGTGGTTTTCGAGGTCCCAATTCTGGCTGTGGGTCAAAACCAATGGGATCCCATTTTGGGGTAGGTGAATTCACCACCCATGTTCGAACCGATTTTACTGGGGATTGGGATGTTCACTGGGGGTAACCGGGCTTTTGACCCATGGCCATTTTGGCTGCTCGCCAGGAACTGCGGCGGAGCGCGAAAGGGATCTCTTCGCCCCAGGCGGTGCATTGCGCATCCACACTTTGTGATTTGGGTGTGCTCTGCTAGGTCCCCCAGCAATTGGTGCCTTTCTCACCATTTCCTACTAAAATAGACTACAGAAAAAAGGTACCCTTGAACCCTTATTCTAACCTCTCTACTGGAGGACCTCGTTGTGATTTGGGTGTGCCTCTGAAGGGAGGAACCTTGGAATGGGTGGTGTCCATTTAAACGAAGCCCAACAAGGGTGCCCTCCAAAAGAGACGAGCCACCCATGAGCCACAGGGCCAGCTGATTTCCCATGAACTTTCACGGAAGCCATGCATGTTGACAGGGAGGAGCTCCAGGCTATGCGTGCCAAAGGTGCTTGAGGCTTCCCTTGAATTAGCTCCCCTTTTTCATCTTTTGCTTTTTTGGGTCCCCTTTGTTGTCCACAAACCAGGCCTAAAAAACAAACATATTTTTTGCTGGGGTCCTAATTCCAGCCAAGGAGGTATGTCCTTTTGATCGGATACTTTGGAGTAGATAGGTTCCACTGGTTTAGACGGGTTTTATGCCATCCATTTACCGGGGAAACCCATCTACTTTTCCAGTTTGGGTCATGGTTCGAGGCAAAGTTGCTCCACCCCCCCTCCCGGCCCCCCGGCCTCAGGGTCAACAAAGCAAAGACTGCAGAAAAGCTGGGCAAACACGGAGCGGGAGTTTCCGCTTGGCTGACGGTTTTTTGATTTCTCTTTTCAAGCTTGCTCTTTCCAGGTTGGCGGTCTGACCAGAATCAAAAGTTTGTTTGGTTGGGCACTATAAGATGCATCTGACCTTGACTCATTCGAGCTGGACTCGGGAGGCTTCGACGGCCTTACGCTCCTCAACATCACGGATGACCAGTTCAGGGAGGACCTCATCATCCTCTATCCCAAGGTGGGGATGTCGAGATCTCCAGGCCTCCAGGTATGGGGCTGAAGCTGATGCTTATATTTACCACCAATGTACCGCTTGCGAGGCACTATACGAAAATATCATATATATATATATATGTATATCCCTTATGTAAATGGTACATAAGCTTCAGGCCTCCAAAGCCCATGCCAGAGCACATCCTTGCCTTTTGGTTTTGAACACGGAAATTCAACATCGCTTTGGTGGGTTCTAGATTCCCTCTCAACATCCCTTTAGGTACCTTTGGTCAGTGTATTCTTCGTTCATCTCTTTTTCTTTCGCAGCTTCCCCACTACAGCCGAAGTTTGGTACATGTTAAAAAGGGGTGCAAGTCTTCTTGTAGGGTCACTGAACAACTGAAGAGGCAACCAACCATTTTTGACGGGCCCCCCCTGATGCATGAAGCAACCGAGAGAGTGAAGCCAATAGAACTTGAACCGGAGATTTCACAAGTTTACAGGGAACTCCCTTTTGGTTGGTTTTGAAGGGAAACCAACAAGTAACCCAATCATGTCACTTGATTTGCCACGAAATTCTCGCGCAACTCTCCAGCATCTGCACTTCCAGGCCATATCACGTTTGCGCCAGGTGCACTTCCCATTTTGGGGCTTCCCCGTTCTTTTGAGACGCTTCCCCGTTCTTTTGAGACGAACATACCCTCTGAATCAGGCGAATACGTGGGTGGTGTTCAGAAGATAAGACACCTGAATCTGCTAATTTATTCGCCCGGCTGTTTTGTAGAGTAGCGTGGGTTTTGGGCGTGATTTCTCGAATTCTGCATGGCCCAGGGCCATGCTTCACACCATGAGGCGACTGATGGATGACGGATGTGCCTAGGTACCAATGGGTGTGTGTTGTTTTGAACCCGTGTTGGATTGTTGTTGATTTTGCATTTTTGTTTTCAGTATTTATTTATTTTCCTTTTTTTACGTTTTTTCGGCAAGTTGAATTAAAGCACCATTGTGTTCCTGGTTTTTTCGGGAGGGGTGGGTGTGGGTAGAGACAAACAACGATTGGTTCCAAGAGCGAATGACATTCAGTGGTCAGTGCTGCAGCGAGGTTCTTGGCTTGCTTCTTGCTTCAGAGGTCAATAGCCACCGGGGTGGGCGAAATGCACAAAAAGTGTGTAAAGGCTAGCCTAGGCAGTTGATAGTGTCAAAGCCGGGGGGGTCAAGAACAAAGCCGCACATGGTTGTGTGCCCTATCCTCAAGATTGTGCCGCGTAGGCACGACAATTTCTCCATCACTTTATCGAGAAGCCGGCAGCTCAGTGATGCGCCAGTTTGAGATTTGGGGGTTGATCTATATTCCTGGCACCCAAATGACCATGGGTAACTTGTTCCATGAGGGAAATATCATCTTATCGGTTTTCGAACCAATGGTCATCCCATGTAAAGGACCTTTTGATCAACCCCCATTCGAGTTTTCCTGGGCGAGACGTAGCACATGCCTTGATTTCTTCCAAAGAAGCCAAAGGGGATGGAGAATATGTGTTTGCCAGAACACCCCCTAAACATTGAGCACCCCATTGTTAATGATTGGAATATCCCAACAAATCTTTGGTGGTCGTACCTCCCTATATCTAATGTGTGTCAAAGGATCCATCCACATGAGATTCGTGTGTTTGCGTGGACGATTCGAGGATTCGTGTGCTGAACCAACGATTGGCCCCTTGCTTTTGGGCTCGTTCGGATTGACCCTGTGAGGCTTTGGCGCTACGGAAGGTCTGGCTGAAGATTTGTTTGGCGGAAATTCAAGACCGTCCAACCGCATTTCACGCATTTGCGGGGTCAAAGTTGAAGCGTTACGGGTCCCCGGTTTTGCTGTGAGGGATCCATAATCTTTGACAACCGGACATCTGGAGGTTTGGGATTGGAGGTGAAGAGAGGCGCCCCTGACCAAGGCTGAGTTTGTATGCAAGCTAGCAGTGGGATGAACATCCCTCGTCAGGCGCAAACTGTAAAGCCCTAGATGGGCGTCTCTCAACATGGCGCGGCCCTTGTGTGGCTGCTAGTTAAACGGAACTCCAAAAGGAAACTGGCCACTTGTTTGGGTCCTCTTTGAGACACACCCAAATGACCGCGCAGCGCATTTTAACGCGGCTTGGAAGTCACAGGTATCAAGTGCTTTTTGGGCGCCTGAGACATGGTGGTGTGCCGTGACATAGTTTGCGCATGAGTAAAACTGCGGGCGTGCTAAACTCCGCTATGCCATCTTGGATTTGTTGGCGTGCGTGCGTGTGTGCGTGGGTGGGTGTGTGTGTGTGTGTGGTTTCAAGGGAAGCGAAAAGGAAAACCACCACTCGTTGAGTCCAACAAGTTTGACACACAGACCCATGAGGCTAGGGACATGGAAGTCAGCCATTCATGGGGGCTGGGGAGGGAGGGAGGGAGGGAGGGGAGGGGGAGGGAGCCCAACTAAGCCCGTATCAAGGCCTTATTTAAGGCTTATTTGGGCTCCCTCCCCTCCCCTCCCTCCCCCGCAGCCCCCATGAGCCATTTCAGTGCCACGAGCCAAGTGGAGCAATGAGCCCGTCCCAAGGCTTTGGAACTTCAAGCGGCCCTCGTGCGCTCCTCAGACATTTTCGTAGCCTAGGCCCCCCAGCTAGGTGCCCTTTTACCCTTTTTTTGGGGGGGGGGGTTCCCCTACTAAAATAGACTGCCGGAAAAAAACAATCGGGTACCCGTATTCTAACCTCTCTACTTGGAGGACCTAGTAGCTGAGCACCCGCAACCCCCAGAGCCACAAATTAGAAGCCTGCGTAAAAGAAGGTTAGGTTCCGGGGCAGTCCCAGCCAGAAAAATCGGTGCGAATATCCGCCGTTCGCTGAATGGCATGGATTTGATTTTTTGGATTGTGACTCAGAGATGGATTTTTCTCACGTATTCCTAGCTGGTCGAACGGGGATTGATTGCGCTACCTGGACCGTTTCATGGCCCCAGAGAAAGCTTTTATGACCATCTTGATCTCATGTGTGGGGACAAGCATGTGGAATGTTTGACTACCTAGGTTGTTCCCTCATCAGTGACTGCAGTCCAGTGGGGCTGACTAGGCGCAGACAAAGCTATGCACCGTTGTGGTTCACCAAAGATTGAGTGACCCAGTGGCTTGCTTCCGTTTGTTATGTTTTTCTTGGTGTCCCCTCAAACTCAAGTACCAAGAAAAGAGGGCCCATTCCAGCTGTGATTTGTTTCTTGGTTCCCTTTGACATCAAGTACCACACAAAAAGAGAGGTCCTTTTTGCGCATGGCCACTGAGGGACGGGGAAGCGCTTCCTATGAAGGTATGACAGCCACAGACCAGCGCCAGCTCCGTCAGCAGCACCACCAGCTGTTTGCCAACATCATCAACCGGCCGCCGCATTCGCAACTGCAGCCAAGGGGTCCCAATTTCAAGAGCAGAGGGCCAACTCGAGAAGGCAGGAACGCTGTTGCATCGTTTTTTTATAGGTGCACCATCCGTTGAAGAGGACTCCCCTCTTCTAGTTCGTGATTGCTGGGGTGTCTTGATATGCCAGCTTCGTTCTTTCTAGGGGTTGATTCCCCATTCTTTTCAACCATCGTCCTTTTGAAAAACCGGCTGTTTCCCCGCGGTGTTTGACGGTTTTCCTGAAAAGAAGGATCCCTAAAAAGAATGGTTCACCCCTGATCGACTCCCCTCGGACTGCTTACCTTTTGTGAACATGTTAGGAACAAACCGATCGCGCTGACTTGTCAGCCCATCTTTAGGCCCTAGCCACAATTGACCTCATCCGAGCTGTTTTAGGTTCCCCCCATCTTTGGGCAACGTTTAGCGGCCCCTTTTGCCGTGATCAGGGCTGCGTCTGCGGCCTGTCTCCCGTGCTTCGCTCCTTCGCTCCTTCGCTCGCTCCCGTGCCGAGCGCCTTCGCGCGCGGTTCGAGGCCTTGCCCTTCAGGGGCCTACTGCAACGAGGGCACCTGTGGGGCTCTCAATCGCTTTGGGTATCACTCGCATCAACCTGCAACTCTTTGGCCTGGGTTTAGGCCAACCTTTTGCAGCAAGGTGTGGCTCCCCACCATTAATAAAAGAAGCAGCAAAGCTTTGGGCTGGGTATCACTTGGGGCAGTTGGAGCTGAAATAAACCTCTCCCAGGCGTGATTTTGTTCTATTTGGGGACCTGAACTGGTGGATATTCAGCTGCAAATTTGCGTCCACCAACAACAATAACTGTTAACCGTTCTTGTCACCCCAACCAATTTATCAGCGCAAATTGGATTTCGCTCATTCATAGTATACCCTCCCACTAACATGGCTGTGTCTTCTTTTGTTGGCGGGCCCCCTCCTGTTGGTTTCAACCAAAAGGAAGTCCGAACCCATGGTGACATGTCCTTTCAAGTCAGCCCAAAAAGGGTACCCTCCAAAAAGTGAGACACCATTTGAGCAGCGCCAGAAACCCTGACAATACAAAGTAGTAAAGGGGGGTGTCCTATAGAATCCCCGTGAAAGCCAAAACGCAGGCCGCGAAAGCTTGCGAAAGCTTATTGCGAAAGTAACCAAAGAAAGTCCCGCCGCGAAAGACCCGCGAAAGCCTGCATGCTGTGTGACGCTCCGCCGCGAAAGCGTCGCGAAAGCAATTCTAAAAAAACCAAAGCCCGCGAAAGCAAAACATGGGGTCGCGAAAGCATCGCGAAAGGGTCCGCGAAAGCAAGTTTATAGGACCGCTTTTTACACAAGAGTATTTGGCACGGCTCATTTGGTCTAAGGGCCCACCACCATGTTGGCACAAAGGACAACTCCCAGCGACTCCGTTGCAGTAGGGTTGCAATGGATCAATCAAAGGCAAAGGATTGAAAGATCTCAGTTAGTTGCTGATTAGTTGGGGCAAACACACAGTTTGGCAAAAGCATAGCTTAAACCCAGGCAGATAAAGAGGATTAAATAATTAATTCAGTGCTGATTAATTGGTGGGGAACACACACACACACCACACATGCTTGCAAAAGGATAGCCTCAACCCGGGCAAATGGTTTAAAAGATCTCTTTGCACAACTTTGAAACCATGGCTGACCACAACGTTGGTTGGAATTTACAGGGGAATCTCATCATTCCGGAGGGTTTCTGAAGGGTGGTGCAGGACTTGCATTCCGCAACTATCCACAGTGCCTCATGGTAAGGATGTTTGAAAGCCCCCAAAAGGTGTTCTCTTGGAGCACTGCCGAACTCTCCAAATTGGTCTGTCAAGTGAGATGTTAGTGAGAGGGTACAAAATAAGGCACCACTCCAGTCGAACCTCTGTGTAAGGCTCAGTAAACTGAAGCATTCCAATGCGAGCCCAGCGTACGAAGTCTGGTGCTCCGCAATGCAGTTGATGGCCTTGGCAGCAGAGTTGCAGTTGGTCGTCTCAAAGAGGGCAGTCCAGGGGCACTATCATGATAACCTCAGGGAGAACGTGGCCTGTATGGGCTGTGCAGGCACGAGACTTCTCCCGAGGTTCCAAGTGAATTTCCTTGACGGCAACCCTCAGAATGGTTTGTTCACTGCTGGTTTCCCTGTAAACCAACCCCAAAAGGGTACGCTCAAAAAAGACCCCCTCCGCCCATGTTGCCGTACGAATGGCGCGCGTTGGTATCGAGCAAGGCCGTGCTTCTCTAGCCGAGGCCCGCGGTACTTACTCACTGGCATCGTGGATGTGGACTTCGATCGTCCCAGCAATGCTCCGCACTAAGTCGAATCCGAGGGACGTCTCCTCCGATACCGGTGGCTCGTCTTTTTTTTGGGGGGCATCGGACCCCACAGATGGTGGTTGTCCTTTTGGTTTTCCGTTGAAACCCACAAACAAGGGGTACCCTCAAGAGACAAACCCACAAGTATAAGGAGGACGGGTGGTTTTTGTTTTTGTGGTAATTCAAGGGGGGACTTAAGAGGTCAAATGAGGATTGACGCAAAAGCTTTGGCATCACGGTTTGGAAGTACTCCCAACATCACAATATGGGTGGCTCGTCTTGTTTTGATGGTACCTTTTTTGCTGGCGGTTTTAAAGGGAAACAAAAGGAACCCCACCAAGTTTAAGGGCCCCCTATTTTGAGCCAAACCCGTATCATGCAAGGTGTCATGGTTCAGAATTCGGTATTCATGGGTGAGGTATCCATCGAAAGCTCTCGGAGTTTTCCCGGCTCTTCAGCCCTCGGGTGGCCATTTTTTGGAGGAACTCGTCTTCAAGGTGTTTCAAAGAAGACGAAAGGGAAACCAGGCATTCAGTGGGTCCGGGGTCCCCTGGAGACAACAGGGATACCAAGCTCCAAGTTCCTTCACTTCTCTGTACTCTTGCAAAAGCCGAGAATCGAGCTTGGGGCTTGGATTGGGCTCATGGACTCATGGCTTCCCGGCCGCAACTGGGAGTTGGTACCCATTGATTTGACCAAGTCTTTTACTGGGGAACCACCTCAAAATTGGTTGGTGGACATGAATCCCCCATCTAAATGAGGTCCAGAAAAAGGGTCGTTTTAAAGAAACATACCCAATTCTCCCCTTTTAGCCCCTTTGAACTTAAACATACTTAAACATCACCTTCTGGGCCACTTTTAGACTCGCTTCCTCTTGCTGGGCAGACGTTTAAGGGGAGCCCTGTGGTGACCACCTCTGCAAAAGCATGTTGTAGCTGTTGGGGGAGCCGCTTCCTTCATTTGGCTTCATGGATTCTGGTAAAGAAGCCAGCCGGACGTTTTACAGGAAGAGAGCCAACACCTTGGTTTAAATCCTGGAGAATTTCCGACGGCCTTCTAGACGGTGTGCGCAGATGAATTTATCCGCCCTAGCCTTGTGCTTGGAAAGCATTTCTTAGGTAAGAGGCTGGTTGACGTTTGCATGTTCTTTTGGATAGTTGTCGGTTGTTGGTCTTGGCTTCTTCAGGCATGCATGTATCCCGCCATGTTGGATATTGTCCTTAGTTTGGCTACCCGTATGCTTGCAGCATCTTGAGTGTGATGTTCCCTGTCTTTGAGTTGGTTATGTGTAACCGGGGAGGCCCGGAATTGTGGTTTTATGTCGGTTAAACCAAGCCCGAAAGGCGTACTCTTAAAAAAGACACATCCATTGTATACCTCATTGGAAACAATGTTTGACACCCCCACAGTGTAAGTTTCAATCCTCATTTTTGGGCAACCTTTATTTGTGGCACCCTCAAGCAACTAAGCACAAACCCAGCTGGCTTTGATTGGTGTGTGTGT